CTTTCTTCCCTCTTTTTCATTTTTTTTTCTATGTTCACCTCTGATTGGGTTATTTCAAAATTACTGTCTTCCTGGTTGCTTATTTTATCTTCCATTTGATCTACCCTGCTGCAGATTCTCTCTGTTTCATTTTTCATTTTAATCATCAAATTCTTCAGCTCCAGAATTTCTGTTTGGTTCCTTTTTATGGTTTTTAACTTTTTGCTAAATCTCTCACTTTGTACATGTATTTTTTTCCTGATTTTATTGAATTGTCTTCTGTTTCTTGTAGCTCACTGTTTCCTCAAAACAGCTATTTTGAATTCTTTATCAGCTAGATTATAAGATTTTTTGCTTTTGAGTTCAGTTATTGAAGGATTATTATCTTTTGGTGATGATGTGTTTTCTTGATTCTCCCTCTTTCTTGTAGTTCAGACACCTCCTCAAATCTTTACTAGTTGCTTTCAGATAGGGTATACTGTTTGTTCATCCTGTTCTATCTGGGGTTCTCTCTGACCTTGTATTTATACACCTGCTCTGTACTTCTTGCTCCCTCTTGTGGCAGAATTCTTAAGCTTTTATGTCTTCTGTGGTTCTTACAACTCACCTGGCTGGCTGCTGGAAATCTCTCTTGTTTTCCAGAAGGTAGCACTACAGCTCAAGTTTGTGTTTTCTCTCTTGCCCACAGATACTGGTCTGTTTTTCTAATAGCACTGCATTCACCCTGCTCACTCCTGCTGCCAATCTCTGAGTGCAAACAAGGAGCCACCACAGAGTGAGGGGAGGTGTGGGTTTAGTACTTGGGGCATTGGGGGTAACCACCAGCTGGTGGGGATATCCTTGGCTGATGTTCTCCCAGGGGCTCTTGAGTGGACTTCCTGCTGAAGCATTGAGCACAGACAGCAGGAACCATGCCCCTTTAACGCCTTTTGATGTTCTTATTAGCCTTTTCTGATCTTCTCCCTTCCCCCAGTCATAGAGGTCCTGTTTCCAGTACTCCTAGTGTTGCTGGAGAAAAATGGGTTTCCCTTGCAGCATCCAGCATAGCTGGGGTAGCCGGGCACTCACACTGTACTCTCCTTTTCACCTGTGGACAGGTCACCACGGGATAGTTCAGTCTGTTATTGTGTCAACTTGTGGAGAGGGGCAAAGCTGAAAAAGTTCCTCTTTCCCTCTCTGCTGCATTCAAACTCATGTGTGTGTGTGTGTATGTGTGTGTGTGTGTGTGTGTTTTCCCTCCAGTGGTGTGCTCTAATCACCTCCAGGGGGCTGGAATTTTACAAATTCTCTCTCATCTGTGGGTATTTGCCCAAGTCAGCACTCTCCAGGTTTTCCCCAATCACGGCTGGGAGTTGTTGAGGCAGGTTTGCTCGCTCTGCTGATTCTGTAGCCCAAACCAGTGTTTGTCTGTCTATTACCAGATGAACAGGTAAGCAAGACTTCTCCCTGGTCCCTTGTCATATGATATTAGATCACACAATTCCCACGGAGGCACTGTGGTTTATGGCTAGATACCTCATTAGTTGTACAAAAAGTAAGGATGTCTTACACGACCATGATGTTAATGTCAGTCCCCTTTTACTGTGTTTCATTGTTTGTTGACTACTCTTATGTTGACTCTCCGTGTTTTCTTTTTCCTTCTTTAAACAGTTTTTATTTCACGTCGTCCCTTTTTGTATTCAATCATATGCATACATTTCTTCCCTTGCAGTAAACATTGGACTATTCGTGTTTTCTATTTTCTTCTCTATTCTTTTCTTTGTACCTATACTTTGTATCTATTTTACTCACATCACTGTCATTTCAGTGGAGGTTTCAGAGAGAAGGTGGGATCATAAACACATGTGTTCAGTATGCTGTGTTCAGACTGATAGAACCTTTTTTGGGTACAATTTGAAACGTATAAAACCTGAAAATGCCTAAGCCCTTTGATACAGCTGTTCTGTTTCTAGATTAACTAAACTGTAGAAATAATTCTGCAATGCATAAAGAGATATATACAAGGACAAAAAGATACTGACTTTAGCATTGATTGTAATAGTGAAAAATAGGAAACAATTTATATGCTATCAACAAGGAAAAGGTTAAACTTTGATGTCTATACTACAGAAAAATATGCAGCAGTCAGAAAGAATACTGTTGACATATGTTGAAACCTCTCTAAGAAATATTCTTAAATTTAAAAAGCAAATATAAATCATGTATGATTCCACTTGTATTCTTTAAAAACCCACAAAACAATATATACATTTTGATTCATACTTACAGGTGAATATAGATTATGGATCTAATTTACTGATGTCAATCTTGGGTCTGGTCAGATTGACCACGCCCTTTGACTCAAGGCCAGGCATGTCCCAGTGCTCTGACATGTAGAAGGTGAGAGCTCTTCATTCAGAGGCTCTCATTCTGTTGAACACATCATACAGGGATCATCACTGGGCCCACTAAGTATATTACATATCAGCAGAATGATTATTTTCTTCTCTCACCACAAAAAGGCTTAAATTACTCCCCCACAAATTAACCTGACGAGTGTTTGCAAAAATGCCCACACTGGCTTTCAATCTGTGATTGTATAAGTTATCTATTGCTGCACAGCAAATTACAGATCTTCCTCAACCTACCCATTGTAAATTTAAAATATCATGTCAAAAATGCATTTAAAAAAAATTTTATTTTGTATTGGACTATAGTTGATTTACAATGTTGTATCAGATTCAGGTGTACAGCAAAGTGATTCAGTTATATGTATACATATATCTATCCTTTTTCAAATTCTTTTCCCATTTAGGTTATTGTGGAATATTAACCAGAGTTCCCTGTGCTATACAGGAGGTCCTTGTTGGTTATCTATTTTAAATATAGTAATTTGTATATGTCATTCCCACACTTCCAATTTATCCCTCCCCTCTACCTTTCCCCTTTAGTAACCATAAGTTTTTTTCTAAGTCTGTGAGTCTGTTTCTGTTTTGTAAATAAGCTCATTTGTATCGTATTTTTTTGCTTCTACATATAAGCGATATCATATATTTGTCTTTTCTCTGTCTGACTTAACTTTACTTAGTATGATAATCTCCAAGTCCATCCATATTGCTGCAAGTGGCATTATTTCATTCTTTGTAATGATTGAGTAATATTCCATTGTGTGTGTGTGTGTATATATATATATATATATATATATATATCCATTCGTCGGTCAATGGACATGTAGGTTGCTTCCAAGTCTTGGCTATTATAAGCAGCACTGCAATGAACATTGGGGTGCATGTATCGTTTCGAACCATGGTTTTCTCCAGATATATGCCCAGGAGTGGGATTGCTGATTCATTGGTAGCTCTATTTTTAGTTTTTTAAGGAACTTCCATACTGTTCTCCATAGTAGCTGTACCAATTTACATTCCCACCAACAGTGTAGGAGGGTTCCCTTTTCTCCACACCCTTTCCAGCATTTATTGTTTGTAGACATTTTGATGATGGCCATTCTGACTGGTGTGAGGTGATATCTCAATGTAATTATATCTCTGATAATTAGTGATGTTGAGCATCTTTTCATGTGCCTCTTGGCCATCTGAAGGTCTTCTTTGGAGAAGTGTCTCATTTAGGTCTTCTACCCATTGTTTGATTGGGATTTTTCTTTTGATATTGACAAAAATGCATTTAATACACCTAACCTGTGGAACATCATAGCTTGGCCTAACCTACCTCAAATGTGTTCAGAACACTTACATTAATCTGCAGTTGGGCAAAATCATCTAACGCAAACCCTATTTTTTAATAAAGTCTTTAATATCTCATGTAATTTATTGACTACTGTACTGAAAGTGAAAAACTGAATGGTTGTCTACGTTCAGAATGGCTTAAGTGATCATGTGGCTGACTGGGAGTACAGCTCACTGCTGCTGCCCAGTATCAGAAAAGAGTATTGTACCGCATATTGATAGCACAGGGAAAGATCAAAATTTTAAATTAGAAGTATAATTTCTACTTGAGTGCATATTGCTTTCACTAAATTGTAAAGTTAAAAAATCATAAGTCTAGCCATTGCAATTCAGGGACCATCTGTACCTCAAAACAACACATATTAATTATCTCTCTGTTTCTGTAAGTCAGGAATCTGGGATTGGCATAGCTGGGTTCTCTGGTTCAAGGTGTCCCACAAGGCTGCTGCATGACCAGGGTTGTGGCCACCTCAATGCTCTACCAGGAGAGGATTCACTTCAAAATTTTAAATTCCAGTAAAATAACGTTATTTATTACAAAAGTAATGTCAGTGAGAATAGAATACTTAAAAATACAGCTAAGCAAAATAAAATATAAAATACACAAAACATATTCATACACTTCCAAGCTTTGAAGGCTGTTAGAGGCCACCCTTAGTTCCTCCCTATGCAGTCCTCTCTGTAGTACAGATCATAGCATGGGAACTGACTGCATCAGAGCAAGCAAGTGAGTAAGTAAGAGAGAGAGAGCATGAGTAAGTTAGAAGTCAGTCTTGGGTTCCCTGATCTCGAGTCATCCATCACTTTTGTTAGAAGTAAGTCACTAGGTCCAGCCCACTATGTCCAGCCCTTGGAGGGAAGGGCTTGCATAAGAGTATGAATACCAAGAGGTGGGGGGTCATCTCAGAAGTTACCTACAACTATGATTAAAAGGTAATTCAGGGGGTTGCAGGAGCAAATTCAGAAGCAAAGATTTTTCTGGTATAAGCAAATGGCACAGTTACTTGCTTCTAGTAAATGCTAAATAATATTTTCTTTTTAACTTTTCATTTTGAAATAATTTTGAAGTTAAGTTACAGGAATAATAAGAGAATTCCATACACTCTTTACCCACATTCACCATTTGTTGAAAATTATATTTTAAAAACATTATGCAGTTTGTCACGTGGAAAGGCAATATTTGTAACCATCAAAGCTTTGAGGTCTGGTGAGAGGCGTGCACCCTGTGCTGGAGTCATATTTGCTCTCTGCATATATAGTGGTCATCTCTCAAATGTTCTCTTCTTCCTCCTCCTCCAGAAAATCCTGAGCGAGCAGCCCTGTACTTTGTCTCTGGTGTGTGCATCGGGCTGGTCCTCACCGTAGCTGCCCTGGTGATGAGGATCTCTTGCCACACAGACTGCCGGCAGCATCCCCAGAAGAAGTTCCTGCAGGACCAAGAAAGCAGCAGCAACAGCAGCGACAGCGAGGATGGCAGCTCCTACGCGGCATCTGACATCTCAGTCAGGAGACATCGTCGCTTCGAGAGGACTTTGAACAAGAACGTCTTCACCTCAGCGGAGGAGCTGGAGCGTGCCCAGCGGCTAGAGGAGCGGGAACGCATCATCAGGGAGATTTGGATGAATGGCCAGCCCGAGGTTCCTGGCACCAGGAGCCTGAACCGCTACTACTAGGGACAGGAGCAGGAATCCACACCCCACTGTTAGCCGCCTGGTAGAGAAAGGGTTCCACAAGGAGGGCGGGCACAAAGAGTTGAACGCAGCTCTGCTAATGTTATGGTGGCAGAGATAAGCAGGACATTCCCATTTTCTAGCCAGGAGGACTGATTTCTCCCTTTTTACTAAATTTATGGAGAAGTAGAAAAAACAAGTTGGTTCATCAACTTTTCCAGGTCTTGGAATGGTGCTGAAAACCCTTCTCCAGCAATGTGGATGGAGAGTAGAGAAATGGAACTTGTGGTTTCTCTTGATTTCTGAGGATCTCAGAAGTTTCTGCAGACTTCATTGCTATGTGTTATTTCTTTACAAAAGGAAATATTATTACAGCATGAGGGCTAGGAAGAGCAGGGTTAACTTAACCCAGTAAATGCAACTTTCTAAATGACTCCATGCTATGGAGGTGATTTTGATCCAGATAGCCTGATCAGTGCTTATTGTTTAAGGTCTATTCTTTCAATCTTGTGTTGCAATGGCAACCTCAGGGATTAAAATCCTATTTTTTATTAAAGTTCCCACTTCACTCATGAAAACGAATAATGTATTATAGGAGATGTGTCAGTGAACTAGAAAAATGTCAATAACCTCAAAGGATGAAGGTTTTATTTTAAATAGCTTATAAAGAATATATTAACATGCAATTAATGCTACATGCATTTGAAAATGCAGCACAAGAATAAAAGCTGTGTTTTTCCCCCTTTTGGAGAGAAGAAAATTTTGTTATGACTCTAGGTAATCATGATTTTAAACAATTTGTTTTAAAAAAAATCCCGTTTGGATTTCTAATAAAAGAATGGGAATGGGAGGTGAGGAATAAAGCCAAAATTAAGTTGGGATAAAAAATAAATGTTACATAAGATCTTTTTTTGTTTTATGTTGATCTCTGTGGTTACACTTACCCTAAACAGCACCCCTTTTATATAGTTGGGTATGGTCTTTTGCCAGGCCCTTCAAATAGCTGGAGAATTGTGAGAAACTGGAGAACGGAGAAATGGCCCCTAGGGGCTTTTCATTTTCTGTATGTTTCTGTTATGATTACAGAATAGTTGAGTGATTGTTAAGCTGATAGAGGAATAGAAGACTTACCTAAGGCTAGAAATAATATGGTGGCCTCATACTGAGAGGGGAAGTTGGTAAGGAAGGAAGAGGGGCAAGGCTGAACCACATTTAGAAATGGGTTACAGAGGAGGAAGCAGCATCCTCCAGCCTGATAGACGGCAATAATGCATTCTATCAGTCTGTCAGATCGCTTCTCTGGCCATGCAGTGGGTTTCTTAGTCAGCCTGTCTGGATGCTCCAGAGCCTTCCTAGTGGATTTCCCCAGTTCATTGGCTTTGTCATCATACCTGAGAAGACAGTTGGGAGACTTCCTCAGCTGGACACTCTATTACTTTGGGAACTCACTATCTGTGATAGGGGCTTGAAAGTCTGTCTTAAGAACTGAACGGTTACAGATATCTGTTTCCCAAGGGGGCAATAGTTTGCTTGAAACCCTCAATGGCTGGCTTGATTATACCTTTTTGAGTGATCTCATTGGCTAGTAACAACTGCCAAAAATCTTGTTAAATCTGCCTCTCTGAATCTGGGTTCTTACCCTTGTGGTTTCAGTCCCTTGGTAACAAGTGCAAGAATCACCCCATTCCCCTGGGCTTTAGATTAACACCATCTATATTGGCCTGTGCCACTTTTTAAAGTTTTTATTTTTTAAAATTAATTTTTATTGGAGTATAGTTTCTTTACACTGTTGTGTTAGTTTCTTGCTGTACAGCAAAGAGAATCAGTTATACGTATAAATATATCCACTCTTTTTTCGATTTCCTTCCCATTTAGGTCACCACAGAGCACTGAGTAGAGTTCCCTGTGCTATATACTAGGTTCTCATTTGTTATCTAATTTATACATAGTAGTGTATATATGTCAGCCCTAATCTCCTAATTCATCCACCCCCGCTCCCCTGCTTGGTAACCATAAGTTTGTTCTCTACATCTGTGACTCTATTTCTGCTTTGCAAATAAGTTCATCTCTACCATTTTTCTAGGTTCCACATATAAGTGATATTATACAATATTTGTTTTTCTCTTTCTGACTTACTTCACTCTGTATGACAGTCTATCATCTGGTCCATCCAGTTCTCTGCAAATGGCACTATTTTGTTCCTTTCTATGGCTGAGTAATATTCCATTGTATATATGTACTACATCTTTATCCATTCCTCTCTCGATGAACATTTAGGTTGCTTCCATGTCCTGGCTATAGTAAATAGTGCTGCAATGAACAACAGGATGCATGTATCCTTTAGAATTATGGCTTTCTGCAGATATATGCCTGGGAGAGGGATTGCTGGATCATATAGTAGCTCTATTTTTAGTTTTTTAAGGAATCTCCATACTGTTCTTCATAGTGGCTGTATCAGTTTACATTCCCACCAACAGTGAGGAGGGTTCCCTTTTCTCCACACCCTCTCCAGCATTTATTTTTTCTAGATTTTTTGATGATGGCCGTTCTGACCAGTGTGAGGTGATACCTCATTGCAGTTTTGATTTGCATTTCTCTAATAATTAGTGATGTTGAGCATCTTTTCATGTGTCTATTGGCCACTGTATGTCTTCTTTGGAGAAATATCTATTTAGGTCTTCCTCCCATTTTGTGATTGGGTTGTTTGTTTTCTTGATATTGAGATGCATGTGCTGTTTATATATTTTGGAGATTAATCCCTTGTCAGTTGCTTCATTTGCAAATATATTCTCCCATTCTGAAGGTTGTCTTTTTGTTTTGTTTATGGTTTCCTTTGCTGTGCAAAAGCCTTTAAGTTTAATTAAGTCCCATTTATTTATTTTTGTTTTTATTTCCATTACTCTAGGTGGTGTATTGAAAAAGAACTTGCTGTGATTTATGTCAGAGAGTGTTCTGCCTACATTTCCTCTACGAGTTTTATATTATGTGGCCATACATTTAGGTCTTTAATCCATTTTGAGTTTATTTTTGTGTGTGGTGCTAGGGAGTGTTCTAATTTCGTTTTTTCACATGTAGTTGTCCTGTTTTCCCAGCACAACTTACTGAAGAGCCTGCCTTTTCTCCTTTGTATATTCTTGCCTCCTTTGTCATAGATTAGGTGACCATAGGTGTATGGGTTTATCTCTGGAGTTTCTATCCTGTTCCATTGATCTATAATTCTGTGTTTGTTCCAGTACCATACTGTTTTGATGGCTGTAGTTTTGTAGTATAATCTGAAGTCAGGGAGCCTGATTTCTCCAGCTGCATTCTTCTTTCTCAAGATAGCTTTTGCTATTTGGAGTATTTGTCTTTCCATACAAAGTGTAAAATTTTTTTGTTCTAATTCTGTGAAAAATGCCATTGGTAATTTGATAGGGATTGCACTGAATCTGTAGAATGCTTTGAGTAGTATAGTCATTTTCACAATATTGATTCTTCCAATCCAAGAACATGGTACATCTCTCCATCTGTTCGTGACATCTTTGATTACTTTCATCAGTGTTTTCTGAGTACAGGTCTTTTGCATCTTTAGGTCGGTTTATTCCTAGGTATTTTATTCTTTTTGATGCAATGGTAAATGGGATTGTTTCCTTAATCTCTCTTTCTGATCTTTCACTGTTAGTGTATAGGAATTCAAGAGACTTCTGTGTACTAATTTTGTATCCTGCAACTTTACCAAATTCATTGCTGAACTCCAGTAGATTTCTGGTAGCATCTTTAGGATATTCTATGTATAGTATCATGTTATCTGCAAACAGTGACAGTTTTACTTCTTCTTTTCCAACTTAGATTCCTTTTATTTCCTTTTCTTTTCTGATTGCCGTGGCTAGGACTTCCAAAACTATGTTGAATAAAAGCAGTGAGAGTGGACATCCTTGTCTTTTTCCTGATCTTAGAGGAAAGGCTTTCAGTTTTTCACCATTGAGAATGGTGTTTGCTGTGGGTTTGTCATATGTAGCCTTTTTATGTTGAGATAGGTTCTCCTATGCCCACTTTCTGGAGAGTTTTTTTTAATCAAAAATGGTGTTGAATTTTGTCAGAAGCTTTTTCTGCATCTATTGAGATGATTATATCGTTTTTATTCTTCAATTTGTTGATGTGGTGTATCATATTGATTGATTTGCATATATTGAAGAATCCTTGCATCCCTGGGATACACCCCACTTGATCATGGTGTATGATCCTTTTAATGTGTTGTTGGATTGGGTTTATTAGTATTTTGTTGAGGATATTTGTGTCCATGTTCATCAGTGATATTGGCCTGTAATTTTCTTTTTTGTGATAGCTTTTTCTGGTTTTGGTATCAGGGTGATGGTGGCCTCGTAGAATGAGCTTGGGAGTCTTCCTCCCTCTGTAATTTTTTGGAAGAGTTTGAGAAGGATGGGTATTAGCTCTTCTATAAGTGTTTGATAGAACTCTCCTGTGAAGCCATCTGGCCCTGGGCTTTTGTTTGTTGTAAGGTTTTTTTTTAAATTTTGTCTGTGCTGGGTCTTTGTTGTGGCACACGGGCTTCTCTCTAGTTCTGGCACATGGGCTTCTCTAGTTGTGATACACAGGCTCTAGAGTGCATGAGGTCAGTAGCTGCAGTGTGTGGGCTTTTCTAGTTGTGGCAGAAAAGCATGCGGGCTCAGTAGTTGTGGCATGTGTGCTTATTTGCCCCACGGCATGTGGGATCTTAGTTCCCCGACTAGGGATTGAACCCACGTCTCCTACATTGGAAGGAAGATTCTTAACCACTGGACCACCAAGGTAGTCCCTTTTGGAAGATTTTTAATCACAGTTTCAATTTCAGTACTTGTGATTCGTCTGTTCATATTTTCTATTTCTTCCTGGTTCGGCCTTGGAAGGTTGTATCTTTCTAAGAATTTGTCCATTTCTTCTAGGTTGTCCATTTTATTGGCATATTATTGCTTGTAGTAATATCTTATGATCCTTTGTATTTCTGTGGTGTCCATTGTAACTTCTTTTTCATTTCCAATGTCATTGATTTGCATCCTCTCCCTTTTATTCTTGATGAGTCTGGCTAAAGGTTTATCAATTTTGTTTATCTTCTCAAAGAATCAGCTTTTAGTTTCATTGATCTTTGCTATTGTTTTCTTTGTCTCCATTTCATTTATTTCTGGTCTGATCTTCATGACTTCTTTCCTTGTACTAACTTTGGATTTTTTTTGTTCTTCTTTCTCTAGTTGCTTTAGGTGTAAGGATAGTTGTTTATTTGAAAATTTTCTTGTTTGTTTGGGTTTCTTTTGGCTGCGTTGGGTCTTCATTGCTGCATGCGGGCTTTCTCTAGTTGTGGCAAGTGGGAGTTACTCTTCGTTGCGGTGTGTGGGCTTCTCATTGCAGTTGCTTCTCTTGTTGCAGAGCAGAGGCTCTAGGTGCACAGGCTTCAGTAGTTGCAGCACCTGGGCTCAGTAGTTGCAGCATGCAGGCCCTAGTGTACATGGATTTCAGTAGTTTCAGCACGTGGGCTCAGTAGTTGTGGTGCATGGGCTCTAGGGCACACAGACTTCAGTAACTGTGGTGCACAGGCTCAGTAGTTGTGGCTTGCGGGCTCTAGAGTGCAGGCTCAGTAGTTGTGGTGCCCAGGCTTAGTTGCTGCACAGCATGTGGGATCTTCCTGGACCAGGGATCAAACCCATGTCCCCTGTATTGTCAGGCAGATTCTTAACTAGTGTGCCACCATGAAAGTCCTTTTCCTTGTTTCTTGAGGTAGGATTGTATTGCTATAACTTCCCTATTAGAACTGCTTTTGCTGCATGCCATAGGTTTTCGATTGTTGTGTTTTTATTGTCATTTGTCTCTAGGTATTTTTTGGATTTTCTCTTTGATTTCTTCAGTGATCCATTGACTATTTAGTAACATGTTTAGAATTGTTATGTCTTCTTCTTGGATTGATCCCTTGATCATTATGTAGTGTCCTCCTTGTCTCTTCTAACAGTCTTTATTTTAAAGTCTATTTTGTCTGATATTGCTATTCCGGCTTTCTTTTGATTTCAGTTTGCAGGGAGTAATGTTTTCCCATCCCCTAACTTTCAGTCTGCATGTGTCCCTAGGTCTGAAGTGGGTTTCTTGTAGACAGCATATATACAGGTCTTGTTCTTGTATCCATTCAGCCAGTCTGTGTCTTTTGGTTGGAGCCCTTAATCCATTTACATTTAAGGTAATTATTGATATGAATGCTCCTATTGACATTTTCTTAATTGTTTTGGGTTTGTTTTTATAGGTCTTCTTCTTTTGTCTTTTCCACCTAGAGAAGTTCCTTTAGCATTTGTTGTAAAGCTGGTTTAGTGGTGCTGTATTCTCTTAACTTTTCCTTGTCTGTAAAGCTTTTGATTTCTCCTTTGAATGAGGTCTTTGCTGGGTAGAGTAGTCTTGGTTGTCAGCTTTTCCCTTTCATCACTTTAAATATATCTTGCCATTCCCTTCTGGCCTGCAAAGTTTCTGCTGAAAAATCAGCTGATAACCTTATGGAGATTGCCTTCCATGTTTTTTGTTTGTTTTCCCTTGCTGCCTTTAATATTTTTTCTTTGTATTTAACTTTCTTTAGTTTGATTAATATGTGTCTCTGCATGTTTCTTCTTGGGTTTATCATGTACTGGATTCTCTGCACTTCCTGGATGTGGGTGGTTATTTCCTTTCCCATGTTAGGAGAGTTTTCAACT